CTGGTCCAAAATCACAGCTTCCACAGTAAGAACCTGGGTCTGGCAGACTCTGCTTTGCTATGCCTAGGGTAGTCAACCTCCAGGTGGAGCCTGAAGATTGCTGGGTATCACAACTGAACTCCAGACAACAGATCTCTCCCCACTCCCGAGAAAATAACTGCTTTGGAGGGTGGGCTCTATGGCATTCTGTTCAGCTGAGGCCTCTCCCCTCCCCAATCTCTGGCTTCCTTAGACTGGCTTCCTTAGACACAGAATATCCAGAAATTTCCCAACCTGGAGCTGGCAACCCTAGTCAGGACTGGTCCCAATGAGTTCCTCACAAAGACCTGGAAAGGGTTTCCTTCCTCTGTCTTTTTACTGACAGAACCAAGCTTAGTTACCTACCAACAGCCACTGAGGAAAAAGTTAGTCCCACAGAGGAGCCAAGCAGGAGAAGTGTCTTTGTCAGGAGAGACAGCTGTTTGCCAGTTATTCTGACAGGGAACAGTGGCTGAAGTGGGAGTGGGTGGGGAAGAGGAGCAGACCCAGAACCCAGCCAATGGCACGCGAGTACTCTTCAGTGGCGGCTGAGGGGCCAATGGGTGTTGGAGTGCATTGCACAGCCAATGGGAGAGCTGGAAATGGCCAATACGCTAAGAGTATTATTATATAGAGATGGTTTGTGATTTGTGTGCTAAAACTGTTTTCTGTTTGAGAAAGAAAACCAAAGATTATTGTATTAATTATTCTCGCAATTTTTTAAAAAAATAGCAATTTCAAGTTTTGTGCTTTTCATTTTTCTTACAATTCATCTGTTTTTGAAATCTGGTTAGCAGTGGGTCTAAGGCGAAAAAAAGTCTGGCACCGGCCCTGCTTACAGTATCTTTAAAACCAACAGATTGAAGCAGAGGTGATCTGCTACTGACCCTGCTTAGCTTCTGAGATCTGATGAAACTGGACTATACCAAGCAGCCTTCCTTCCCCAGTAAGTCTTTCTTCTGATTAAATATGCATAGGATTGGACTGTTACTGTGGCAGAGCAATCTACCCAGCTACCAGCAGTGGAGGTTGGGGCTTGTTGCTCCATCTATACACCCAGCCCTCCTATGAATTGCCTTTCTGGAACTCTGATAGGTGCTGTGGGTTACCAGCTAGAAAGAGGGAAAACTCACACCATCTGGTAACTAAGTAACAAGCAAAGAGCTGGATTGGTCTGGCGCTGCTGGCTTTCAATACTTCTGTTATTGTCACTTTTCAGGAGACACTCTTGGAATAGCATTGGGGGATGCTGTCCCTCTGATGCAGAACTTTGGCTTCCAGGGGTTGTTGAACTCATGGAGCTGCCTTGTACTGAATAAGATCATTGGTCCATCAAGATCAGTATTGCTTACTCAGGGCCAAACTAGATGTGCATGCTGTTTCCTTGCAGCCACTCAGCAGCTGTGGGAAATGTCTGGTACAAAATAAAGGAGAGCCCATTTTGGCTTGGAGCATCACGATATGGGGAGGAAGGGCTTCTGCCTCCCCCCCCCAGCTGTTTTCCCACACTGAAACAGCACTCGGGCAGAATTATTTCCCCATTTTCTTCCTGCTCCACATAGAGTATTCTGTGCAGTTTGGCATGGGAAAGCATCGGGAAGGGGTTAGGCAGAAGCCCTCCTGCCCCCATCAGCATTCCAAGGCCAAACTGGCTCTCCTATATTTTTTAACTAACAGTCCTGCAGCCACTGTGTGGCTGAGGGGAAACAGTACATCCAGCTATCACACTGGAAGCAGCTTATCGGTGTCTCAGTTTCATATCACCTACCACCTACCATATCACATATCATCGGTTTCATATCACCTACCACCTGATCCTTTTAGCTAAAGATGCTAGGGATTGAACTTGGAATTGTCTGCATGCAAAACAGATGCTCTACCAGTAAGCTACACCCTTCTCCAAACTGTTATGCTATTTGGAGAGCTCTCTGTGTGATACTTATGTTCTAGAAAAGAACTTCTGTACACATGGGGGCCCATATTACGTGGTATCTTAAGGGAGATAAAACCTGGCATACATGGCCAAGACCTAGGTGGAAAAAACTCATTACATCTGTTGTAATTTAACCCTGGCCAATTTTGCAGTCCTTCATCAACCACAAAGTAGATTTAGAGAGAGTGGAGGGATCATAGTGAGTCTTTATTGCCTGTCTCCATTATACTTTTTTCCTGTTGGGTTCCAGGGACATGTTGGGTATCTTGCTTGTGTTTTTTCCCCTTGCTTGCCAAAGAGGGCCCTATGTGAACTAGTGGAAGCAGTCTCTCATGCAGTGCTGGAGAATTTCAGGCCTATTGTACCTGGAGGACTTCAACAATCTTTGTCCAGCTATATGAAATATTTTAAGGCCACCATGGGTCTGTTCCAAGGACTATTGTGTTCAACCCATGAGAGGATTAATTTACTAGATTTTTTTTTACTGAGCTGATTTCTGGAGGTCTAGTAAAGGGACTGGATATATAACCTGTGCTATGGTTGTGGTTTTCTCCTCCCAGCAGAGGTGATGGTCCAATTACAATGGTCTGTCCTCAGAGGCTGAGGGATCCAAATGGCTTCAAGGATGCTTTGGTAGATCTGAGGAGTCTGAACAATAACTCTGTTGAAGCCCTGGTAGGAGCCTGGAATGCTAGACTCCAACTGGCAATAGGTTTGCTCCCTACTGCCACCGTGCGGCTTCAAGCAGGAATCCAGCACCATGTTTTTTGTACAGGTGGTTAACTTTTAAAGGACATCTGTCTTTGTTACTTATGTCTAATGTGGATTTTTGCGTGTTTGATTGATTTTACTTTTTGTATGTGAACTGTGCCTCCTCTTCGTAGAAGTCTAGAGCACCGACTGCACCCACACATTCTCCCAAGGAATTATTTGTGTGTACTCTGTTCCTCTGTCCCATAGTCCCTATGTGCATTTCTTGATGCAAAAGCCCTTACCTCTGTCAGGAATGACCAGCTTGCAAGGCAAAGCCAGAGGTATGATGGAGTGCTGGTATACCAGAGCTGACAGGCAACCTGGGGAGAGAAAAGGATAAATGTTGAAAGCTAAAGGCAGCTGGGAGTATGACTTTGAGAGCATTCAGAAACCAGTGTCAGAAACCATCATAGGGCTATGGGTGCTGGATTCCTTACTGATGTTTATACAAGTTGAATGAATGACAGACATTAAGCCTCAACTTCCAGGGTCAGATTGTAAACTCTGTCCCTACAATCCCTTACTAATTTAGCAGACATAACTACTCTACTATGTAATAGTGTCATGATTTAAACTTTTCTTATGCTGCCTATTCTCTCTTCAGTAGTTTCTCCTATGGAAGAACCACTGGAGATGGAGGAAGGCTCTTTTAGGCTGAAAGAAGTCTGTGGAGCCTAATGTAGGATATCACCCGCTGCTAGTAAGTAGGCTGCAACACAATCAGGTTATGAAGATCTATTCCATTTCAGAGGAGACTTATGATAGTAGCAAATTTTCATAGATCAAGCAGACTTTCAAAACTAAAGGAGCAGATTTTCAAAACTAAACAAGTGTCTTGTGGCTCTTAAAAACTAACAAGTTTTTATTCTAGTATAAATTTTCTGAAGAAGTGGGTTCTAGTCCACAAAAGTCTTATTCTAGAATGTTAAAAGTTAGTCTTGAAGGTGCTACAAGACTCTTGTTTATTTCTGCTACAACAGACTAACATGGGCACTCCTCTGGAATTCTAGACGGCTGACTTCTTCCTGTTGTTCAAACATGATACCTGTTAGCACGGAAGAAGGATGGCAGCTTGCTGGTGCATTTCCTGTTTATGAGGCACCCTGAACTTCAAAACCTTTGGTACTAACTTGGAGAACAACAAGTTTGTCTGCCTCTACTCTAATGGCGCTGTCAAATATGGATATCATTATTGGATACAGTCAGGAATGTGTATACAGTCAGGAATGAATTCTAAACTGACAGCTCTTGGAACTGTTTCTCAGAATGGCCTTCCTAAAACCAGTAGTAAAGCCTTGTCTCTTCTGCAATGCTATATTACAGGAGAATTCAGTTCAACCCAGAGGAAAGGGCAGATAATCATGTATGAAGGAGAGAAAGGCAATCCCTGTTCTTCATTCACCAAGGAAATCACTGCCCTCTGAAGGATACTATGCTTATAAGAGGCTGTGCTGGAGACCACTTAGAAACCTTTGATTAAAGTTTGTTCATTAACAAGCATGTTACAATAGTCAAATATTTTCCTTAACAGAAGCAAAGTACATGTGTTAAATGCTGTTGAGTTTCTGCATTTTGTTCTTGCAGCAAGAAGGAAAAGTTACCTGTGATACTTAAAGACTGAGAAATTTCTTATAGCATAAGGTTTTTTGCAAGCAAGAGCCTAATCCATCAGATAGATGAAGTCAACAAATAAATAAGCATGAGGAAAATTTAAATCTAGCCATCGTGCAAGACGATACTAAAAGATAAAAGGAGACATCTTGACAACAGGTGTAATAAAAGAGCCAACCAATGGAAATACAGCATCACTGATACTAATGGGATTGTGGCAAGGTCAGCTGTCACCGGACAGTGCTCAATCTATAAGCAAAAAAAATGAATATTGAACAATGGCATTTTCAGTTCCTGAGAGTGACTCTCCCTAACCCAAATTTCTGTAACTTCACCAACTCTTGTTTAATATTTCACCATTAGAAGGCCAGGGATATTATTACATGTTGGTTATCATCATAACCTCCACAAGAGGGCAGGCTGGGACACAGTAGCTAGCTCTACATACAAGAAAGGGGGATTGCTTGCCAGACTTACCAAAGTTAGGCTCGTTGGGACATCCTTTTAATTTCACACCTCTGGGGCTTGTTTCTATCAAGAAGTGCCTTACTAGCTCATTGGTGATATCTCCTGTGGGGACAAATAAGGATTTCAGTATGGTTTCTCAATGTTTCCTGTGAGCCTTATAGTTCTGTTTAAGGCCATGAAGTCACATCTTGCTGTCCTTCAGAGAGAAAACAGGGAAAAAATGTCTTCAATTTATGTTGGCAGATGATGCCTGCTGAGCTGACATTGACAGCTAGCATGAAGAAGAAGAAGAAGAGAAGAGATGGGATTTATACCCCATGGCCCTTCACAACCCAAAGGTGTCTCAGAGCGGCTTACAAACCCCTTTCCCTTCCCCTCCCCTGTGAGGTGGGTGGGGCTGAGAGAGCTCTGAGACAAACTGCTCTTTCAGGAACAGCTGTGCCAGAGCTTGTGACTGACCCAAAGTCACATCAGCAGGTGCAAGTGGAGGAGTGGGGAATCAAACCCGGTTCTCCCAGATTAGAGTCCACACACTTAACCACTACACCAAACTGGCTCTGAAGAAGAAGAAGAGATTGGATTTATACCCCGCCCTTCACTACCCGAAGGAGTCTCAGAGCGTCTTACAAACTCCTTTCCCTTCCCCTCCCCAAACAGACACCCTGTGAGGTCGGTGGGGCTGAGAGAGCTCTTGACAGAAACTGCCCTTTTTCAAGGACAGCTCTTATCAGAACTACGGCTTGCCCAAGGTCATCCAGCCAGGTGCAAGTGGAGGAGTGAGGAATCAAACCCGGTTCTCCCAGATTAGAGTCTGCGCACTTAACCACTACACCAAACTGGCTCTCAGTAGTAAATGAAGACCTTGTGGCCCTTGTATATTTGGTTTCTGGAATCCAGCAGTGGCTGTGCAAGAGGCAACACAAGCTGGTCCTCAGTTGACCTATTCATGGGGCAAGAACCATCTGAGTAAGGACTCTGAGGCCCTGCCCTCACACAACATGTTACGTTGACATGTGAGACAGATGGGGGAGATTCATTTTCCATTCAGGTTCACAATGTGCTTGTGGTGAACCAGTCATTTGGGTAGCAGACGATGAAATATTCTTTGGCCAAGCTCCCCTCGTTTACATGTATTGGGCCCCTCAGAAATAATTCAGCTCCAGCGACGTACTTATTCCACAGTGAGAATCCCGAGCAAAGAAAGGCTTTTTCCTTAGCGAGGAGTGCTTCCCTACTGCCTACGATTTTAAAGGGCAGATTTAATGAAATCCCCTTTGTCCAACGTTTTTGTCCATGTGGCGCGCTTGAAGTAGAAACTCTACAACATGTCCTACTCCAGGGCTGTTGGTATGAGGAGCCTCGCATGAAATTTTTAGCCCGGACTGGATTCAACATTTCCTCCTCTCGGACATGGACTCAGAAGTTTCCCAGGCTGCTGCTGGGTATTGGGCAGCCTGTCTTGCAATACGTAGAGAGAAGATGACTCTTAATCTTAATCCATAATCCGTATGTTCTAACTTTTTATAGTTAACTATTTTAACCCATATCTTATGTGTGTATTTTGTTTTATTTTTGTATTTTAAGCTGGCAAAAGCCGTTAATTAACCTTTGATTAGATTTGGATATATTCCTGCCACTGCTCAATAAGGTTACAGAAAGCTTTAGGTTCTAGGCCAAATCTTAGTCTCTGTGTGGGATCAGTAGTTCCTAAGAACACATTCTGAGCCTGTTTTGAAAACAAAGAGATTCCAGGCCTTTATGGTGGCCCTTAAGCATGAAATCTCACATCTGATGCAGGATTAGCATTCAGACTTTGCCTGGAAATTATATCTAGGCAAAGGACGAGCATCTGGATTTTCAGCACTGGCTGGTGTGCGTATTTGTATCCAACCTAGGCATTCAATGAGATTCCATAAGGACTCCATCTTCCATATGGGCAAGAAGGCAGTACCTTTCTTACTCTGTTGCACCACACCAGGAGGTGGAGAAGCAACTTTCATGGCCAATCCGTAGGCTCCCCGAAAAGAGTGGCTGTCTCGAATGATGAAGGCCCCAGGTTCCTTGTCTTTCAGCAATGTAATGGCTGAGAAAGAAGCAAAGCACACAGAAAGCATGTAAATGCATCTCAGTAGTAAAATAGTGTGCAGTCATCAAAAAATTAATAGCTCGTAAGATGAAAAGTGGAATAGAGGGCTCTAAATCCAATTCGCCAACCTCAGAAAGTCATTTTATACCCTGGATTTCTCAGCCTCTTGGCAGTGCTGGGCAGACCTCTCTGTCTGAGTTGGAACTGACCCATTTAATTTATTTATTACTTCTTACGGTTTTTGCAACCAGAGTCATAAAAAGGACATCTCCTCATGGAGTCAGCCAAGGGGCAGAATCAGTGGGTTGGGGGGGACACAGCAAACCCCAAGAACTCTAGGCTCTATCTTGCTTCCAATGGCATCAAGAACATGCCAGGATCTAAAGGCCTTTATGGACTTCTACGGCCCATTTCTGAGCCTATGAACTAATTGGATTTATACCCCACCATTCACTGCCTGAAGGCGTCTCAGAGCGGCTTACAGTCTCCTTTCCCTTCCCCTCCCCACAACAGACACCCTGTGAGGTAGGTGGGACTGAGAGAGCTATTTCGAGAACTGCTTGTGA